ATTCGGCTTACTAATGATTCAGCCTCACTTTTTCCTTGAGCATCATTTGTGCTTTTTGCTAGTTCTTCTAAAGCATCACACACTTCTGCGGCTTGAAATCGTACAGCTTTAACACTTTCCATTCTACATTCCCATCTTGTTTCTGATAATGGTTTAACAGACAGGCCTTTCACATGCTTTTTAAAAACAGTCCATCTTTTTGTAGATGAAGCAAAAAGGGTGTAAATACGCTGCAGGGTTCCAAAAAATGTCATAGCATCTGAACACGTTTTAGCCATATCTCCTAGAACAAGATTATAATTATGGCACACACAAGGAGTATAGAAAGCTCGTGAATTTCTTTCCAAAAGTCGTGCTTGCACTCCAGAATTGTGTCCTTTCATATTAGCTCCATTGTCATACCCTTGTCCTCTGATGTTTTCAACATCTAGTCCTAGCATTTCAATTTCTTTCACAAGAGTGTTAAATAAATTTTCACCAGTGCTGCTCTCAACTATAATAAACTTTATAAAATGTTCATAAATTCCTGCTGGGACATCTGAGTTTGTGCCATCAGCGAAATATCTTAGCACCGTTGACATCTGTTCCTGATGGCTGATATCAGGAGTGCAGTCAAGAATCACTGCAAAATACTTTGCCGACTTAATTCTAGCAATAATTTCCTGTAGAACAGCTTTGCCTATAGTATCAATAATTTACATCTTGTATGGTCTTGCCTAAATAATGATCATGAATGTCTTTGTTAATAATTTTCTGTATATGATCTTGCATAACTGGATCAAATTTTCCTAGCAATTCAATGACGCCTAGAAAATTGCCATTATGTGGATTTCCAATTTGTTCTTTAGAACCACGAAATGCCAAGTTACTTTCTGCCAAAAACTGTACAGAAGCAACAAGTCGCTCAAAGACTTGATTCCAGCGTTTTGTTTCTTGTCTTATTAATTTTTCATTTAATGTATCAACAGTTAATTCAGTAGATAACCTTTGCTGCAGTTCATAGCAATTAAGTGTACATTGCAAATGTTTTTTTGATTTTTCATGATCCTCTAATCTTGTATGAATATTTGACCAGCTGTCAAATCCAGAAGTAGCAAGTGCAGAATCAGAATTTGTGCCAAAAAGTTTGCAATAGTAACAGTAAACTTAATCAAATGATTCAGAATATATTAGCCATGGTCGTTCTATAACTTCCCCATTTTTTAATTTTCTTTTACAGTGAAATTTCGAAAAACGTAACCCTTTTTCATTTTGCGGAAAATTTTCTACAGTGACCTTAGGGGGTCCTTCGTTCACTAAATAATCTCTGACATTTCGATTTATTTTATTTGGCCACGTAGCAGGGTCATCTTTTATCTTTAAAATATCACATAGTGCTGGGTTTGAATTTTCTTCTCTTGATTCTGAAATATCCTCATTATCCTTGTGTGTGTTAACAGATATATTTATACATAATTCAGTTGTATTTTGTTGAGCATTACATCCAGAAAGAAAACTACTACTAGCTTCTGATTCTTAAGGTTCTCTTCATGTTACCACTTAGATATTTTCTACCGACGTCCCTTTGTCTTTTACTCATATTTTGGCTTGTGTTCTTCAAAACTAAAAACTTATCTCTTTTTTTACTACTAAATTGCACAATAAAATAAAATAGTTTAATTAAACTAAAATAAATAAAAAATCCCCCTTACAAAAATAAAAGTAAAGTTAATAAATTTAAGCAATTGATTACTGCAAATATCTTAATATAAATAAACAAACATTTAATATTAAGATTATTTATTAGACTTGAAAAAAAGTACTCTTAAAATTATCCAATAAAATTTATTTTATCTTAAATATAAAATATTTACTGAAAAGCAAAAAAATTTTGCGTTAAACAAAAGTAAATAAAACTAATAGTAAACAAAATGAAAAATAGTTATAGCATAAACAAACAAAAAATATATTACAAACATTTCAAAAGTAATCTTTAACAATATAAAAGCTGCCGCCATGTTCATTGCTTGCCTCGTGAATTTTCGGAAATAAGTACTTCTGGAACTTTCGAAAGTAGATTGGAAGCTAATATAATTTATACCATATACCGCAATAACTAAGATAAACTAAAAATAACAATAGACGTTACCATGCGCATTAAACGTTCAACGTTAACTGTACGAATTATATTAAGATTGATAGAAATTTATAAAAAAAAATTACTGCCATTTATAATGATATGCTATAAATTGCGGGGCCCCTACCAAGTGCGGGGCCCTATTTGGAGCAATTGGTCAAATCAGCCTGAGACCGGCCCTATATATATATATATATATATATATATATATATATATATATATATATATATACATATATATATATATATATATATATATATATATATATATATATATATATATATATATATATATATATATATATATATATATATATATATATATATATATATATATATATATATATATATATATATATATATATATATATATATATATATATATATATATATATATATATAGATGTATATATATATAGATGTATATAGATAGATATATAGATATATAGATATGCGCGTAATTACGCGCAAGTGATATTATTTTAAAACTAGGCAAGTTGATATTTAAATTAGTTAGTTAGCTAGTAGTTAAACTGTAACTGGACGAATCCAGCGAGTGTGGTTTATCACACTTTGACAGCATTAATCCAAATATATATTAAAAATGTTTAGTTAAAATTTCTTTGATTTGGCGTTATACTCATCTATTCTATTCTTAAATTGATTGACAGTTTTTGAAGTAACAACAGTTTCCGGTAAAGCGTTCCATAAATTGGCCGTACGATTTAATAAAATATGATGCCGAGGTAAATAGTTCACAGTTTCTTTTTCATATTTAAGATTGTGACCTTGAGTAATTGAATCAATTTTAAGCTTCGGTTCATTAATTAAATCAATTTCATCAAATCTGTTAAGTAATTTAAACACTTGTATTAAATCCCCACGTTCCCTCCTTGTTTTCAATGTAGATATATCTAATATTTCCAATCTCTTTTCATAATTAATTTTCCTTTATGATGGAACTAATCTCTACACCTAAATCTCTCTCTCATTCAGAATCTTTCAGTTCAACACCATTTAAAGTATGTTTCAATCGCGGATTATTTATACAATAATGCATTATAACACATTTACTAGAATTAAAACACAAGAGCCACTTTTTAAACCATTCCTCTGCACTATCCAGATCATTTTGCAAGCTATTTTCCACATTTTTTTCATTCACTTTTAAAAGAATTTTTGTATCATCTGCATATAATACTGACTTATTTTTAAATATATTTGGTATATCATTAATAAAAATAACAAATAATAACGGCCCTTTTACGGATCCTTGCGGAACACTACTGAAAATTTTGCGCCATGAAGAAACAACATCACCTTGGATAACTCTTTGGATTCTGTTTTTTAAAAAAGCTTCAATCCATTTTAATAATAAACAACTAATTTCATATAAAGATAGTTTAATCAATAGTCTTTTATGAGCAACAGAATCAAAAGCTTTAACAAAATCTAAAAGTGCTTCATCTACCAAAATACCAATCGATAAAATAAATGAAATGTAATCCAACGCCTCTAATAAGCTTGTTGTACAAGACTTCCCTTTAACAAAACCATGTTGTGACTTCGATATTAATTTATATTATATTAAATATGATTGGATGCAGTCTCTGACTATACCTTCCATAATTTTACAAGTAATTGACGTCAATGACACTGGTCTATAATTTTCAGGTTCTAATTTATCTCCCTTTTTGAATAGTGGTGTAATATTTGCTGCTCTCCATTGAGTTGGTAGTTCACTTTTAACAAAAGATTTTATAAAAATTAAATTTAATGATAATGTTACGGAATCCGCACGATTTTTCAAAATCAACGGATGTATAGAATCAACTTCATATGTTTTATTGATATCAACATGTTTCAATCTACTTAAAACATCAAAATAATCTATATTAACTGCATCAATAATAATATTGCCTAAATTCTCGACTTGTGGAAACTCTTCTGTAGAATTTTCGATGGTAAACACATCTTGAAATTGTTTATTTAAAATTTTAACAGTTTCATTTTGATCATTTGTTACGCAACCTGTTTGATCTCTTAATGCTTTAATTACTTGTTTAATCGTTTTTTGACTATTCGCATATTTATATAGCAGTTTCGGATTTACTTTTGATTTTTTAACAAGATCATTTTCATAGTAACATCTTGCTTTACGCGATTCTATTTTCAAATATTTTTATATTTCATTACTTTATTCAAATCTTTTTAGTTTGATGATAAATTTTGATAACGCAAATTTTGTTTTGAACGTACTAGAAGACTTACTTCATCAGTAAACCATGCATTATTTTTTCTTTTCTTTCTTGAATTTACGTCAATTATTGGAATAAAAGCATTACATGATTGACTAATTTTTTCAATAAACAGATCATACATAAATTGAACTGATAACCCATCAAAAAAATAATTCCACATTTTTATCAATACTTAGGCTTATTTGTGGATAGTCTCATTTACTGTAATCAAATTTATACTTTAGATAATTTTCCATTGCATCAAGCATCAAGATTAAATTTACAAGTTAAAACCAAATGTCAATGATATATATTTCCTAAAACTGGGTTAGACTCAAGTTGATAGATTCGTTCATTGTTTTTTGTAAAAATAAGATCCAAGGTATTTTTTGTAACATATTGTGCATTTTGAAAAGTTGGGATTGATACGTGTTGGTACAAAAAACATTCATATATAATATTAATAAATTCATTTTCAACAGAATCTTCACCTACTAAAGTATCACTAACGTATCCATTCGACCATTTTACATTTGGAAAATTAAAATCACCAATAATTAACAAATCTGCAAAACTATTTTTTTCTACTAATTTACAAGCTTCTGTGAATATTTGACTCATTTCAAGCATATCTACTTGTTCGTTTGGTCTGTACACGCAACCAATTAAATATTTTTTATCATTTGAAACTATAATGATCCATATTTGTTCAATTTTACTTCTATTTAATATACCTTTGTTTACCTCATAAGATATTAAGTTGCTATCTATATATCGCGCAACCCCTCCTCTACGCCCATCCCCCCTATTTTGTTTATACAAAGAATATCCTTCCAAATAAATTTCTGATGTCTCATTAAACCAGGTTTCTGTAATAGCAATTATTTGAGGATTTTTAAAATTGCATAAGATTTTAAATTCTTCAACTTTGTTTACTTAATGTATGATGTAGCATTCGTATAAAAAACATTAAATGATAACAAACTTACTAATTTTTTATGTTATCGTGTTAAGTTGTATTTTAAATTTGACAATTCCATTTCCACGGATCGCATATCTAAAGGGCGAGTTTGCTGTTCTTTCACCATTCATTTTGTCACGTTTCTTTCTAAGCTCATAGTTTTCCATTCTCTCTGCTTCAGTTAAATCAGGGGAAATAAAAACCTCCTTGTAATCTTGCTTTTCTCTTAATAATTTAGATTTTGCTAAAATTGGGTTTCTCTCAGAATCTTCATTTAAAATCACTAATACTGGTCCCGGTTTTCCAGTTTGTTTTATATTTAGCCTTTTTTGGAATATTGGAACGCTTTCTACTTTTATTTCATGAAATAGTTTACTAATTTGTTCTTTATCCTCCTCATGTTGTTCTTGCAATGAAGCTTTTTTAGATGCACGAAGGCCATAGACAATAATATTTTTTCTTCTTTTTTCTCTATTTTTTTGCTCATTAACAGCTGCATTTACAACAATTAATTGTTCAACTGGGGATTTTGTTTTAGAAGAAGAAGTAAACCAATTTTTACTTGTTATAGCATCTGAGTACGATTGTTTTGGCAATGATTCTCGAAAGTCTTTTTCATCCTCTAGTACCACAATACGTGTTTCTAACCCTTTATGCAGACAGTCATTTTCCATTTTTAAAATTTTTTTCTCAAGTGCTTTAATTTTTTCTAACTCTATCTCAAGATGTGTCAAATACTCTAATTCATTTGTCTGTATTTTGGTATTAAGAAATAACAAAACTTTCGAAATTTTACCACACCAATCATGTAAGACTTTAGAGCCCGTATTAGAATTAACTTCATCAGAATGTTTCTGTTATACAAATTAAATTAAAAATGTTCTGGGTATCTTTTATACTTATAAAAAAACTTTCAAAATTTTTTTTAGACTTCTTATATTAATATGCAAAACACACACACAGATATATATATATATATATATATATATATATATATATATATATATATATATATATATATATATATATATATATATATATATATATGTATATATATATATCTATATATATATATATATATATATATATATATATATATATATATATATATATATATATATATATATATATATATATATATATATATATATATATATATATATATATATATATATATATATATATATATATATATATATATATATATATATATATATATATATATATATATATATATATATATATATATATATATATATATATATATATATATATATATATATATATATTAGAGATGTTCCGATTAATCGGCATCGGCATCGGCTTAATCGGCCACTTTTTGCACAATCGGTATCGGTATTGGCATTGGTCTTTCCTTATTAATTTACCGATTTTCCAACCGATGGCATTTTTATATTTTTATACCACATTATGATTAAAACTAAATAATAAGTAAACTAAACTTCATACATTACTTAGATTTTTTTTGAGAAATTTCTTATAATGACTTGTTTACAGGCAAATTTGTTTTTCTTAAGATGATGTTTATAAGCTTTTATTTAACAGCTGAATGTATTTATACTTTTATTACCGTAATGTTGTTTTTAAAATAATTTTATTTTGTATTGTTCCATTGTTATACTTAAAAGTATATATTTATATATGATTGTTGTTTAGATATCTAAATTACTAATAAATTAATAGGTAATAAGTTAATAAAATTACTGAATCAAAAATATACTCAGAATGGCAGCAGCTTTGTTTGGAAAAGGTATTCCAATAAAATCACGTAGTTGGGTGTGGAAATATTTTAACATTTATCCTGAAGATACCTCAATTGCAATATGTAATACATGCAAACTGAAGGTTTCAAGAGGTAACAAAGAAAAAAAAATCTAAATCTTTTACCACAACTAATATGTTGTGTCATATAAATATAAAGCATAAAGAAATAGCAAGCAAAGAGTTAAAACTTAACGAAGAAGAAAAAAAAAGGAAAGCAGAAGATGAACAAAAATGTGTTCAAGAAATTCAAGTCAACTGAAGCAAGTTGCTCAAAACAGTCCCAACAAACTTTGTTTGAAACACTTGCGAGAAAAAAACTCTAGGACATTAATGATAACAGATCTAAATTAATTAATAACTATATTGCAGAAATGATTGCAGTTGATATTCAACTTTTCTCAATAGTAGAAGACATAAGATTATATGTCCTAACTATTGTATACCAAGTAGAAAGTACATTAAAAACACTGTTTTTCAAAATATATATGACAAAGTCAGGCAAAATATCCAAAAAGAAATAAATGATGCTTCTTACATTTCATTTACAACTGATGGATGGGCATCTACCAACGGAAAATGCTCATTTCTTAGCTTGACAGCTCATTGGTTAACTAATGAATTTCATCAAAAGTCAGCAGTTCTTCGGGTTTGTCAATTTAATGTATCTCATACTACCAAAAATATATGCGAAGCAATTCAAATTTCTATGAATGATTTTTTTATTCCAGCTTCAAAGGTACATTTAGTTGCTAAAGATAATGCAGCTAATATGGCAGCTGGAATAAGAGAGGCAGGTTACAATAGCTTGCCGTGTTTTTTTACACACTTTGCAACTTGTGTTGAATGACACTGTATTTGCCCAGATATATATCGAAAATATATCAATAACTTGTAAAAACATAGTAACCCATTTTAATCATTCTCCATCTTCTTTTGAAGCGTATTGAAAATATCAAACTCAATATCAAGTGCCACAAAATAGGTTTAAACAAGACATTGCAACAAAATGGAATAGTCAATACTTTATGCTTGAAAAAATTTTTGAACAGAAGCGTGCTTCAATCCCATTTTGTTATGATAATGATAACTCTAAACTAAAGTCCTTGGAAAACAATAAATGGGATTATTTTAGAAAAATTACAACGATTTTTAAAAATGTTTAATGATATAACAAATTTATTAAGTGAGGGTAAAGCAATTGCATCTGCTATAATTCCAACTGCACAAGTTATACCAACCATGTTAGTTCAAGCTGAAAAGTTTCCCTTGTTTTTTGGATTAGGAACAATTTTAAAAGAATGTAAAAACTCAGCAAATGAAAGATTTGAAAAATATTTCAATGACAAAAATCTCATTTTAGCCACATTTTTAGATCCAAGGTATAAAAATAATTTTTTTCCAACCGAAGAAGCTGACAGTTATTTTGAAAATATTATTAAATGGCTTTTAGATTGCTCAAAAAGTTTTCAACAAAATGATCATATTGAATTTCAACCTGAGGTCAGTTCTTCATCAAGTACAACAAATCTAGATTTCAATTTTTCAAAATGCTTTGAAAATTTTATTAAAACAAAAACACTTTAGTTAAAAAAACATCCATATCTGAAATTCTGCAAGAAACAGAAAGCAAACATTATATAAAATTGAAAAATGAAGTTTTAACGTATTTGAGTCAAGACATAATCATGCAACAAGATAGTCCTATAGTATGGTGGGGAGCAAATAGAAATAACTTCAAACAATTAGCTCCGATAGCTCAGAAGTATTTATCATGCCCTCCTTCATCTTCTGTTGAAAGTGAACGATTATTTAGTTGTGGAGGACAAATTTATTCTCAACGACGAAGTAGGTTGTCTTCAGAAACAGGAGAAATGTTTTTACATTACAATTTTCGTATACACAGTTTTAAATGCTAAATATTGCTACAACTGCTATTGGTGCTTCCTTTAAAATCTTAAAGCTATTATTTTCTTTTGTATTTGATTTTGAAGTCTCTTATTTTATTTTGAGAAAATGTATATATTTCATGTTACAAAGGTTATTTTTATTTGTTTTTTATAAAAAGCCTAAAATTCTAAGTAAACTGCTTATCTTAATAACATTTTCTTTTTAAAATTAAAATAAAAAGTGTTCCTCTAAAATTGAATTTATTTTTTGAAAGTTTTCTTTTCATAGTTAAAAAAAAGTAAAAAATGTTCAATATTCTAATGGTGAAAAAATTATGAAAACCAAAAATTTTTACAAAAAGATATAAGTTTTAAGTAACATATTTTTGATTTTATTGGGGGGCACCTTTGAACACTTTTTACACTTTTATTATAAATCAAAAAAAAATTATTTTAATAGCTTTTTTTGTTTTGAACAGTAAAAATATTCATTAAGAGAAAAAATTAGAACCAAGTCAAAAATTAAGTCAGTATTCTTGTTCTAGTAAGGTGTGCAAAAATGTTCAAACCTTCCCCAGCCTGGGGCAGTTTTGAATTTGCATGGGGCAGCTTTGAATTTCTTCTGCCAAATGTAAATAATTATTAATTAAATTAATTTTATTTAAATTGAACTGATTTATTTTTAAATTTCACTATGTTAAAGTTTCAAATAGCAAAGATAAAATATATTTTCTTTACTATCTGATCTTATAATCACTCTAAACAATTGACCAAACAAAAGTCATATGAATATAATTTTATCGAAAGCTTTTAAATATTAGGAGAATTTAGGATTTGTTAGGAAGCGTGTCCACCCTGTATTAAAAAAAAACAACCTCAAATAATTTTTAAAAGAATAGACAAGCAACAAAAACAGAACTTTAAAATACAATCTGTGAAAAAACAAAACATTGCGTAAAAAAAAGAGTAAAAGTGAAGATCATCATAAATTATGGTTAAGAAAAATATTAACAACTTAAAAAAGAATATATATATATATATATATATATATATATATATATATATATATATATATATATATATATATATATATATATATATATATATATATATATATATATATATATATATATATATATATATATATATATATATATATATAAATATATATAAAGACTCGTTACAATCAACAAAATCTGGAAATTAGAAATTAAATTAGTTAAAAGTTACAATAAATCAACATAGATTAAAATATTTTTCGTTTCAGTTTTAAGGATTTAGATCTAATTTTAGAAGTTTTTTGTTTTGAAGTTCCTTAAAAGATTTCAATTTTTTTCTTGCGTAAAAGGTAAAATTTTTTTATTTCTTCTCTTTCTGGGGTGTCAATAAGAGTCTTAGACTTCCTACTTTTTCTGCCTTTATTAGTTTTTTTACGAGGCAGAGCCTTTGTAAATGGTTTTACTGATTCAGGTGTTATTGTGTGCTGTGATTGTAAGGCATCATTAAGGTACAAGCCAATCATTCTAAGAAATAGACAGTTTTTGCTTGAAACAACCATTAACTGTCACATCTAAAAGTTGCATTCTGTGTGTACAGTGAGGAGGAACTGTTAAAACCACCATTCCATTTTCAAAATATTAATTGATGGCATCTAATGTACAATGGCTTTCATGATTATACATTAGGTGTAAAACAAGATCCTCTTTCGAACATCTGACTAGTTTTTTTATATGTTCTAAAACTTTTAAAAACAATGGCCCTGTCATCTAGCCAATTTTTGAACTGTTTGCATAACCAATACAACCAGGAAGTCCTTCTTTTATCATAGTGTCATGAAACCGTGCTCTTGGAAATATGAAAACAGGTGGAATAAAATTTCCTATAGTATTTCTTAAACCACACATAGTAATAAATTGTCCACATTCACCAGATACACACTGTCCAAACTTGTTTTGTTCCAAGTAATACTATAACATAGGGTGCTTGTACTACTGTCATAGTACTGGTTTCATCGATAATATAAATTCTATCAGGAGTAAATAGATATTTTTTTTATACTTTTCCATTATTATCAAAAAACTGATTTACATTGTGCTCATTAAAACTCATTGAGCGAGGCAAACTCGTACTTTAAGGTTTTCGGAATAAAAGTTCTTGGTGGCGTTTCATCAAGCCTTTTAACCACTCTATACCAGCTTGTTTATTTTCTATCTATTTACTTGGAAATTTGCAAAGTTTGCATAATGCATTGCATAATGAAATGCTAATTCTTGTACTTGTTTATATAATAACCCATAGTTCAATTTAGAGCTTTTTATTAGATAGTCTTTCAACATTTTTTCTTCGTTTTCATTAAATACCTGTGTGACTGTATATTTACTTGTAAAACCTAACTTGGTCTTGGATAATGAATTTTTATACTTCTTTATTCTGTAATGTAAAGTATTACGTTTTAAATTATAGGTTATAGCAGCTTCGTTAAGCTTCATTAATTCATTTGCAACTTGAAGAACAGTGTTATTGACATCTTCCTCTACGACTTCTGTCACTCTCTTTTTTTTATAATTTCGATCCATTTTTATCATTAAATAACCAAAATCCAGTCCGTAAACTGAGAAGCAACTAACTGCAGGAAGTTGAAACACTGCATTATATGATTCATAAGTACCATGCTCTTTTTTTTTCAAAACTGCCCCAATAGCGTTGAAGAGAGTAAATTTATGGAAACAAAAAAACATTTTAAATGAAATTTTTTGCTTTATTGTAAAAAGAATAAAATATTCTATATAAAAATAACATTAAGTTCACCACTTGTTAAAAATACGGTCAGGAAAGTCTTGCAACTTTTTATCGAAATGTTTAAAATTTGTACTCGAAAAATAAAAAATCGCCTTGTTTTTCCATTTTATATCAAACGGCAACATATTCAAGTGACAGATGCAAGGATATGTATTGTCTTCATAAAAAAATTAACTATACTTAATTTAAATCCATGCACTGTTTACGAACGCACTTTTTCAAAGCTACCCCTCTTTAAAGCTGCCCTCTTCTTCTCTAAGGATTTGTTGAAGAAACTGTGGTAAAAATTAATTTTTTTGTAAATTGTTAATCTAATTTGGGAAAAGAAATATTTTATTTCTCCTATATTTTGTTTGAATACTTTAAAACATTACAACATTTTGTAATGCAAAAGACTATACACTAAGTTTCATTTCAATTTTATATTAAATCTTAAAAAAAATCCATTCGATATTTACTCATATATAACAATATGTTGCATGAGGGGATCTTCCTTTAGCTTCGCTCAACATACTCAATAACTCTTCACAATCGATGTTGTGAAATTTTGCACTAGCCTTGAGTGTTGATATAATAGAAAGAGAAAAGTACCCTTTTGTCAAATTAAGACATCCTTCACTCCTTAAGACAAGCAGAAATTATCTTGATTATTTGGTAACTAATGACACATAAAATTGTAATTGGTTCTAAAATATTTGGTTAAAACGGTTTCCCAAAAAAATCTCTTGTTCTACAAAACAGCGCAGTTGGATTAGATGAGAAACAGCCTCAAAAAGTAAATCTACTGAATATGGCATTGCATATCGAGGTCAAAACATATGAACTATCAATCAAAAACGAAATAAATGTATAGCAAAGTCATTAAGTTTATATAGGCTTCAAATCAAAGAAGAAATTTTAAAACTTAAGTAACTCTGAAGTTAATTGATTCTATTTTTGCAGTTATTTATCTTTATTTGTTTACTAAATAGCACAAAAGTTTTATGTCTATTAAGGTTATATATAAATAAATAAATAAATATATATATATATATATATATATATATATATATATATATATATATATATATATATATATATATATATATATATATATATATATATATATATATATATATATATATATATATATATATATATATATATGTATTTAAAATGTAAGTTGATTTTAATAAAAAAGGCAGCGTATAACTATTTTTAAATATATTTTGATGTAAAAATATATCAACGATATTTCGCTGACCTATTGTGGTCAGCGTCATCAGGTAATAATAAAAAACGTTACAAAAAAACATAAAAACAAACCGTTTAAAAAGAAGACATTAAAAAGCGTCAAATATAAAAACCAATTAAATATAATAATGACGTCAGTTAAATTCTTGTCAAAATGGGTCCCCAAGTTCTTGTTTTAACCTTATCCCCGTCATCTCGATTTAGAACACCTTCCCCAATACCTATCTCACATCGAACTTTCGCTTTGTTAATCTCCAGAGATTCTCTAATTTTTCGTATCTTGTATTCTTGAACGACTGCCAAGGTCTTAGGATTTAGCCAATCAAAGTTACCACGGCATGTTTTGGAATGTTCCGTGGCTCCTGAACTTGACCATTATTGATTTTTGCAAGCTCTTTGGTGTTCTGCACTTCTTGAAATGATTTTCTTTTTGGTCTCACCAATATATATATTTCCGCATGAGCATTTAAGTTGGTAAACCCCCGGATTTGAGTTCGGAGGTAGTTTAGTTTTGTTGTTGCATAATTTATTACTCAAACTAGGAGCTGAAGTAAATATAACTCTGATGTTTTGTTTTTTAAGTTCTCTTCGGAGTTTTGGGCCAATAATAGGTATCCAAGGTAGTTTAACAAACTTTTGATCTAACTGATTAGATGTAGTATAAATAGTTTTTGGTTATTTTAATAAGATTATTTTTATTATAGCCGTTTTCAAAAAATGTATTTATGAGGAAATCAATTTCTTGTGAGAGATATTTTTGAGAGCAGATTTGTTTTGCTCGACATAAAAAAACCTTTAAAGACGCCAATGGTTATGCTCGGGTTGATGTTGGAGTTTGGTTTTATTTGAACATTTGTTATCGCATCCTTACGGTGTATTTGAAACTCATAAAATCCATTCATTGTATTTGTAATACAAATATCTAAAAAATTAAGTTGTTTTCTTTTGTTTTCAAGTTCAACGGTATATTTTATGGAGGGGTTTTGTTCATTTAAAGCTTTAAGAAATAATTCTTGCTTTTCTTTTGAATCGAAGCGAGCATGGCTATCATCCACATATCTTTTATAAGTTATTGGTTGGAATGAATTAACAAAGGCTATATCAAGTGTTCTTTTTTCTATACTTTGCAAAAATGCTTCAGCTATGACTACCATCAATGATAAACCAATTGGACCTGAATAAGGTAAAATTCGGATTTTATCTTCGTATAAAAAGTAACATATGCTTAACGATAGTTCAATTAATTGGTGTATATCTATGAGAGTTAATTTCGTGGCACTTGATATTGAGTTTGATATTTTCAATACGCTTCAAAAGAAGATGGAGAATGATTAAAATGGGTTACTATGTTTTTACAAGTTGTTGATATATTTTCGATATATATCTGGGCAAATACAGTGTCATTCAACACAAGTTGCAAAGTGTGTAAAAAAACACGGCAAGCTATTGTAACCTGCCTCTCTTATTCCAGCTGCCATATTAGCTGCATTATCTTTAGCAACTAAATGTACCTTTGAAGCTGGAATAAAAAAATCATTCATAGAAATTTGAATTGCTTCGCATATATTTTTGGTAGTATGAGATACATTAAATTGACAAACCCGAAGAACTGCTGACTTTTGATGAAATTCATTAGTTAACCAATGAGCTGTCAAGCTAAGAAATGAGCATTTTCCGTTGGTAGATGCCCATCCATCAGTTGTAAATGAAATGTAAGAAGCATCATTTATTTCTTTTTGGATATTTTGTCTGACTTTGTCATATATATTTTGAAAAAAAGTGTTTTTAATGTACTTTCTACTTGGTATACAATAGTTAGGACATATATTATTTAGCAATCTTTGAAATCCGATGTCTTCTACTATTGAAAAAAGTTGAATATCAACTGCAATCATTTCTGCAATATAGTTATTAATTAATTTAGATCTGTTATCATTAATGTCCTAGAGTTTTTTTCTCGCAAGTGTTTCAAACAAAGTT